GCAAAGCCCGAGGGGCGCGGCAACGGCGGGGCCCTCCTTCCCCGTCCGCTTGTGGGCGCCGGCGCGGGGCGGCCCCTTCGAGCGACGGCGCTGGATGCCCGCGGGATCCAGCGGCGCGGCGGCGATCTCGCAGGGCGGCGGGGTGGCCTGCTGGTGGCGGCGCTTCGGTGACCCTCGTTCTACGCGTGGTGGGGCGGCTGCGGTGCTCCTGTCTCGGGAGGTGGCGTGCGACCGGTCTCTTGCCGGATCCGGCCGGATCTGGCTCTGGGGGCTGGCCGGCGGCGCCTGGCTCTGGTGGTGCGTGCCCGGCGGCTCCGGTGCTTGGAGCTCGCCGGACGACGCGGGTAGGGCAGCGGCCGGGCGTGGCTGCTGCTCCGGCCGTGGGCGACGGCATGGGTAGGTCTCGGTGGTGGCATACCGGTGTCGTGGCGGCTTCACGGTGGCTCGATGGATCTGCCCGTGGCAACGGCCAGCTTCTCCGGTGTCGGTTTGTTTGTGTTCGGGCCGTCTCGACCTTCACCCCTTCTTCTCGTCGCCTGGGCGCTACTCCCATCAAAGGGCTGGTCCTCTCCCAGCTGCGGTCCACCGCTCATCTCGCGCCCGATGCCGCATGACTGAGCTTGTCTCGCGCACGATGCAGCAGGACCGAGCTCGTCTCGCGTGTGGTGCAGCAGGACTGAACTCGTCCCCCTCTCGTTGCTGCAGGACCGAGCTCGTCTCGCGCTGGGGGTAGCAGGATGGGTCGGTGGATACCAGTTCTGGCCGACCTATTGGGTCTCAACGCTGGGAGTTGCCCAGGGGCGCGAAAGGTGGGACCTTTCCGCTCATCTCTTTCTTTGGGGTGCGGCGGGTCTCGGGTGAGGTGGTGTCGAGGTCTTGGATGCTGGGGCGGCGACCCTGGTGGTGGTTGCGCGGTGCTCTTGGGCAGAGCACGTGCCTTGGTGTTGCCCGGTCACCATGGTCGTGTGGGCGGTGTGGTTGCCGGGGTGTGGCGTTCGGTGGCGGTGAATGTTGGCCGAGGTGAAAATCTGCTCTATCTTTGGACGGACCGGTGGCGGCGAAGATCGTTCCCTTCTTGAAGGCGTCGTCGCGGCTCTCATTGCCCATCATGCGGCTCCGGGGGAAACTCTGATCCTTGGATCGGACGGTGGCGACGCTCCGGTATCGTATCCTTCCTGAAGGCACCGCCTTGGAGCGCATGGTTCGTCATATGTAGCTTCATCTCTTCGGGGCGGTAGTGCTAGGAGTGGTGTTGCTGCACCCAGCGCCTATGTATCCTGTCCTGTGTGTGTGTGTGTGTGTGTGTGTGTGTGTGTGTGTGTGTGTTGCGTTGGCATGGCGTGTGGTTGTACTGGATGCTTGTGGTTTGGTGTTTTATATATAAAGCGGGGCGAAAGCCTTTTTCGGCAGAGTACAGAATACAATTTATTATATTTTAGAGGCAGTCAAATAGAGAACTTTGGTTTGGAGTGCTAAGTTTATCATTTCAGAGATTGCAAGTGATGTTTTGCAATTTCTACAACACAATTTTTCAGTTTCCAGTGGACATTTTAATAAGATGCTCTCATGCTTTTACATTTGTGGATTGAATCCACCAACTAAATTAGAAGCTGACATACTCTGTATGATGTTCCCAAACCATCAGCGAAGCCTTAGATTTGTGCCTAGGCCAGCAAGCCTGCTCCAACCAGAAAATATGAAGAGGTGGACACAGAGACAGCTAAAGAGAAACTGTGGGTACCGTTTGTTTGTGAGCTGTGTTGTTTGTCATTTGGCGATCTAAAGCTATATGAGACGCATCCAACCTTTGTTCACCTCTCTAAACTATATCTGCAAGAGCTACTGTTAGTTTTCCTTCTTTTGCTTTTTTTTCACAGG